ACGCAAATCGTCCAAGCTGGTCTGCCTGCTGATGCAGAAGAGTTAATCCAGAGGATGTAGGCATGGGTGGGCTCTATGTTCTGTGACTGGTTCCTAACTTGGGGAATTTTTACACTTTGCATAGTGTTAACGTTAGCAGTGTGTTGGTGAATGTGTTCTGACTTCGGTGCCAATGCTCTTCTACAGCATAATTGTGGCATTGAGCTGCTTGTGTCAGTGTTTCTCTGATGCCATCGCTGACAGAAGCACAAGATTCTTGAGCAGGTGGAGTCAGATTTACTGCTTACAACCTCCCCGGGCTGCTCACCTGAGCAATTCCCATGATGGTTTGATGCCTGTTCCCACTTTAAGCTGTTGACTAGTTTCACTGGTGCTGTAAAACGGGCTGCTTAGAAGCAGCTCCCTTTGGTGGACAGAAAGATTCCCCTTTGGTACAAAATACTTTGGGGTGGGTGAGGCCTCAGCTGCAGAAGGAACTGACATAGGTAGAACCTGAAAACACTTGACACAGACAAAGTTTCTCGGAATATTCTGGTTTACTTGTATTCATGCACTTGTAGGTACTTAAGTAATTAAGAGTACATCCAGTTTTGCTGCTCTAACACACTACAGCATTGAGAATTCATTTGCTGTGGAAGGGAAGAGACCCAACCTTCAGAGAGCATTGCTATTACTGATGTTAAAGGATAAAGCAGCTGGTCAAAGGAAATAGGCTTTCTTCACGAACATTAAATCTTAATTGACAAAATGAAGCACCTCATTTTTTATTCCATCCAAGTTAAACTGTTTGAACTTATCAATATAGGTCAAAACCTTGCAGGACACCAGACTGTAGTAAGTTTCCAGTAAAGAGCAGTCTTTCCCATCGCTTGTTTCCTTCCAATCTTTAAATAACTCGTCCTCTTTCATGTTGGAAGAGGTGAAAATGAATTTATAGCAGCATCGATTGTAGCTGATGTGCTTTTCCCCAGAAAACCGGGAGCTGTGAACGGGAGCGACGCCAGCTTTTTTAGCACAGATCCCAACAAAGACATCGGGGGGCACTGACCCTGGCACCCCCTTGGAGGCCACGACCACCTTGCGAGCGACATCCTGTGACATGATGAAGGCGCTCCCATCACAGAAATCTGGGTACAACTCCTCTGGGTATTGATGGATGGGAACAAAGCCGGGGCTCTCGGGGTCTCTGTCAGGCACTCCTTGACGAATGACCCTCCCAATGTAGATGTCCTCTAGCTGTGTTAAGCTAAGCAAGTATTCAGCCAGACTGGGAATACTGACAAACACGTCTTCATCTGCTTTAAGAATATACCGTGCATGGGGGCAGAAAGTTACTGTCCACTCCAGACTCATCAGCATCTTCTGTGTCTGTGTCTCGGGAGAATCAATGAAACTGCCCTCAATAATGTCTCTGTGCTCTTGAGACTCCTCATTGATCTCCAGCTGGGTGGTTACTGAAGCTGGCTTTCCTAAAGCAAACAGAGTAAGGACAGCATAACCTCTGGTGTCTGTCATGTTGCCCCATGTCTGTCTGATCACGTCGCGTCTTGTCCTGTTTTCTGGGGTGCTGGAGACAAGAATGAGCAGAAAGATCTCTTGATCGGAGCACGTCGCTGCACTGCTGACACTGTAGGAGAGATTGGCCTTCAGAGGTTCCGTGTTGAGCTGCCTGGCCTGCTCCCGGATTTCAAGAGTCTTTGCATCGGTGTAAGAAAGAGGCAGTGACCGCAGGAAGTATTCCTCCAGGAAATCTGCTCCAAAAAGCAGCACGTGGAAAAGCAAGACATTAAAGAGAATGAAGCACCACTGGTGAGTCCGCAGCCTGCAGGGTGTCAGCTGGGGAGGAGAAGACATGGTCACTGAGTTCTCATGCTACTAGATCAAAAAAGCTTCCCTTCATTTAGAATACGCTTATACAAAACAATCACAGCTTTTAGATCGTGTCTCTGTAATGTGTCTTCTTCCTAGAAACCAAAGCAACCCCACTTCTTGTGGTACAGTAAGATCTAAGCTGAGAATGACATTACTGTAATTTAGGAGGCTTCTTTCTGTGCATCCATGTGTGGAAACACTGAGGAATAACTCACTATTAACATTTTCTGACTGTTTTTAACCGGTTACTGGATGCCCAAGATGCTGATGAGGACCCATAATGATAAAATATGTCCTCAAAGCTGAGCCTTTGGTACTTGGCCTGAGTTCTTGGCACAGTAAGAAGCCTCATGCTAATCCCTGCGTAATAAACCGAATCACTTACCTGCATGGTGGTGGGAGGTCTCCCTGCAGCAGGGTCTGTCAATGCCAAAGGCAGTTTCTCCCTGGCAGAGGCTTTTGGGACAGCGTCTGTATCTGGGTCTGCAGGATCCAGTTACTGCCCAGAGACTGTGGCTTTCCTCTTACCTGTGTGTGGGAAGAAAGATGATCCCAGACAATGATCGTGTTGCAGCTGCGTAAAGCACAAAGCAAACAAAACTTGAGCCTTTCCCTCTATTAATTTCTGGCACTTGGGATTGGGTGTCTCGGAAACGCAGCAGTGAAGCAGCTGCTCGGGCATCCTGGTACCCTTGTGACTCTGTGCTCGGTCTCCCACTTTGTTGCTGTTTCTTACAGCAGTGCCATTTTGGG